TTGTGCCTCACCCCAGATACCCTCTCTGCTGTGCCAGGGGCTGGTCTGGCTCCTCTGCGCCAGGAAGGTCAGAGGCTGGCCTTTGGGGAGGGAGGCCGACTTGGGTCCCAACCTTACTCTGCCACGTGGCAGTGCAGCCTTGGGCAAGTCACTCAAGCTCTCGGCTGTCATCTGTTATTCATCCAGCCCTTGGGTTGCTGGGGAACCTGAGATGTCCCACCAGCACCAGGGTCTGTCCCACCTCCTTCTGGGTGGCTGAGACCTGGGACAGCAGCCAGGGATGATGGCCCCTTCTCCAAGGAGCCCCAGCTTCCAGGGCCAGGCCTTGTGGCCTGCCTCTGCTGGGCTTGGGACCACAGCTGGGGTGCACTAGCCCGCTCCCACTGACACGCAGAGCTGGGAACCCCTGGTTGGGAGGTGGGGTGCAGGAGAGTCAGGCTCTGGGGTTGATGGCTGGGCTCAAACCCTGGATTAAGAGCAAGCTGCTAAGCGTTGTAGCCCTGCGCCCATCTGTGACGCGGAGTGACAGAATCTTACCACTTCATGGGGATTTTCTTGTGGACTCAGTGAGCTCATCAAGGTCCTTGAGGCCCCCAGCACACAGCAGGGGCTCAGTCACTAGGAGCTGGCATGATTATTCCTCAGAGCTGAGGCCTGGGGCCACCCTGCCTTCTGCTCTGGCCCAGGCCACCAACTGGCCTTGTCTTTGGGTGAGCCCTGCCCTCTGCTTTGCACCTGCGGTGGGGCGTGGAGGGTCCCCCCCAAGGGGACTAGTGCTGCTCAGCAGGGTCACACTGAATCCTCTCAACAGCCCCAAGGGAATATGGTCACCCCATTTCAGACGAGGAACTGAGGTCTTGCCGGGCCACCCAGCTGGTCAGTGGCTGGGGTTTCTGCCCAGGCCATTCTGGTCCCAGAGCCACTGTCTCAGCCCTGCCTGTGTCGTCACAAGCAGCAGTCAGTAGAGTGTTTGCCCTTCAGTGTCCACTCTGTCCAGATCTGCAGCCCCTTCCCAGAGAGAGGTGCACCCCCCACAAGCTCCTCCTCGCCCAGGGAGGACAGAGGGCCCTGTGTTGGGGCAGTCACCCCCACACAAACACTGCCCCACGTGAGTCCTGGGAGGGTGCCGAGGCCGGCCTGACTGTTGCAGCTCACGGCGTGCCCTCCGCCCCACCCCAGACGATGAGCTCCCAGGTGACGGGCCTGGGCCTCGACAGGATGAAGCTGGACAGTCCGCAGTCCCCCCTGGACCAAGAGGAGGCGGAGGAGGCTGAGGACGGGCAGCTGCTGGACCCGCAGGCGTGGAGGACCTACGTGGAGCGCCGCAACGCACTGCGGGAGTTCCTGAGCTCGGACCTGAGCCCCCACCTGCTCCGGCGCCACCATGCCCGCGTGGAGCTGCTCAGGAAGTGCTCCTACTACGTCGAGATCCTCCCCAAGCAGCTGGCCCTGGGCGACCAGAACCCGCTGGTGCTGCCCAGCGCCATGTTCCAGCTCATCGACCCCTGGAAGTTCCAGCGCATGAAGAAGGTGGGCACCGCCCAGACCAAGATCCAGCTCCTGCTGCTGGGGCACCTGCTGGAGCAGCTGGACTGCGGCCGCGCCGAGCTGGAGGCCCTGCTCGAGTCGCCCGACCCGCAGCCCTTCCTGACAGGCTGGGGACTGGTGGAGCGGCGGCTGGCAGAGCTGTCGGCCGTCATGGACAGCTTCCTGGCCATGATGGTGCCCGGGCGCCTGCACCTCAAGCACCGTCTGGTGTCCGACATTGGCGCCACCAAGATCCCGCACATCCGCCTCATACTGAGCACCAAGATGCCCGTCATGTTCGACCGCAAGGAGTCGGTGGCCTACCAGGACTGGGTCAGCCTGCGCTGGTTTGTCACCATCCAGCCTGCGGCGCCAGAGCAGTTTGAGCTGCGCTTCAAGCTGCTGGACCCGCGGACGCAGCAGGAGTGCACGCAGTGTGGCTTCATCCCCGTGGCTGCCTGCACCTTCGACATCCGCAACCTGCTGCCCAACCGCGCCTACAAGTTCATGGTCAAGAGAGCAGAGAGCTACACGCTGGTGTACGAGCCCTGGCAGGACAGCCTCACCCTGCAGACCCGGCCGGGGCCCACCGAGGGGCCCACCCCAAGTCGGCTGGGCAGGCCAGGCCCACCCCCGACCACACCTTCCGAGAGATGATTTCCTGCTATTTATCCACTAATACAGAGGAGTATAAACTCACATACACAATTTGAGAAATGAACCTACTTACGTCTTAAAGGTGGCAACAGCCACATGAGTGTTTTCCTGACTCAGCGCAGCGCCACCCCCCACCGGCACTGGTGACCAGCTCCCCGTCCACCACCACATGCACCCCATGGTGGTCACTAGGACCGCCGGCCCTCTGAGAAGATAAGGCACGGCAGGGCAGGGTGATCTGGAGCCGGGAGAACTGATGGAGAAGTGGCCTGGTGAGAGAGGGGTCCCCAACTCTGTCAGAAAGGCCCAGCCCCTCCCCCAGCTAGGGACAGTGTGCTCTGCAGGGTTGGGGTGGGCTCAGCCTGGGTAGGGGCTCCCCTCCCAGGCCTCTCCCACTGCTGACCCACTGTGTGCTCCTGCGTGCCATCCAGGGGTGAGGCCAGACTGTGTCACACACTCTGTGGCACCATGTGGCTGAGCCTGCCTCCTGGATGTCTGGCAGGATGGAGCCCTCCCAGGGGTCCCAGGCAGAGTCATCACCTTCTTAGGGAACGACTAGAGGAGTGGGGTGTGGTGCAGAGCAGAGAGGGCTGTGGAGGGGACGGGCGGGAGCTGCCAGGGGATCCAGGATCGGGGTTTGTGCTGGGTCATACAGATCCCACCCACAGAGGACAGCATGGAGTGCGGGTTCATTAAGGGAGGCACATGTGGGTGCACGGGCTGGGGGACTTCTTCCCTCCTTGCTCCTCCCGCCCCCAGCCTGGCCTCGCGCCCCTACTCGGAGGACAACTGCCCAGAGACCGGCCTCGCGGCGGCACCGCTGCAGCTCCCCGGCTGTGAGCCACTCCGCGGCGCCCTCCCGGTGCGGTCCTTGAGGCGGGGGCGCAGATTTGGTCCCGCCCCTCACCCGCCGCAGCTCACCTGCCGCGCCCCGCCCCTCGCACACGGACTGACTTAAAATTGCGACCCTCATTGCGACGAGGCCTAGCCCTCTGCCAGCGGCCCGCCTCGTGCCACTTCTGCGCGCAGCTGTCCGACCGCAGTCCAGCCCGGCTTCCCGCCGCGGCGCGTCCTCAGGGCTTCAACGCCCCTTCCTCCGGAAGTCCTTCCTGACTAGGCTGATGAGGTCCCGGCTCCCTGCCTCCGGGCGCCTGCTAGTCTTCTATTCAAGCGCTTTTCGCGAGATATGGTAAAATTTCTCCATGCTTTCGTGGCTGCCCTAGAATAGACGTGCTCTCCCAGGTGCTGCGCACGCCGGGTACACAGGCCCCTTTCCTTACAACTTCTGTCTGTCTCTCTGTGAGCTCCCAACCCACCTGACACCTGTGCTGGCACTTAGGGAGGCCAGGGGCCTGCCGTGCCTCCCTCTGGACAGCTGGTGCTGTTGGAGGCCCTGGAGAACCAGCCACAAACAGGCCGAATTCTGACTAGCCCAGGTCGGCCTGGAGGGCTGTGTGCTGCGCAAGGGTCCTGGGGAGTAATTTCAGAGCAGACACCTCGCAGGATGCTGTCAAGGCCTCAGCCTGGAGACTTTGGACTTTAGACTTTGGGGCCTGAGGTCAAAGTTCAGTGGCTGAGTGGCCTGCAGCACCTGGGCACAGCTCACCCACTGTGGACCTTCCTCGCCAAGTTGCCCCCAACCCCCAGCTTCCTTTATCTGGGCACAGACAACCCTCGGCCTGTTGGCTGTGTCGTCAGCTGTAAAATGGATGACGCGGGCCCCTCTCCACATGCTCCCTCGTCCAGCATCCAGCTACGATGGGCTCTGGGCTCTTGGCTCTTGATAGCCTCAACAGGCACTTTGCAACCCAAAGCAAGAGGAGGGACCACCCCTTTTTGCAACCCAGTCAGACCTCAAAACACCCAGAAGTGAGAAAAGCATTCAGAGTGGTCTTTATAATAAAATTAATATTCGATCATATAACATAGTCCAAGAAAAGATACAAAAATTGGAATGTAGAAATTTGATTTGTAGAAAACATCAGAATCAGACAGATACATAGACACCCCCTCACCCCTCGCAGAGGGGGCCACAGGTGGGGCGAGCCCCTCCTGGCGTTAACGACTTGTTTGCAGCAACTCAAAGCCACAAGGACAGTGGAATGGCACTGAGTCAAGGGCTCTGTTTTCCAGAGTCAGAGCTGCCTCAGGGTGGGCGGGGTGGGGACAGACATCGAGGGGACAGGTTTCCAGAGACGGTAGGACACAAATGCGCCCTGAGGGGCAGGTGAAGGTCCTCAACCCTGCAAAGAAAGACACGCCTGGGCAGGGTGTTCCAAAGGCCCTGACCTGGGAGCAGGCCTGAGTGAACAAGGCAGATGCAGAGCTCAGGGTGGAAGCACAGACGCTGTCCAGGGGCCCCCACCCACACGCCCGCAGGAGTATTGCACCACCCAGCACGTTCCGGAGGGGCAGGTCCAGGCAAGGCTGGTGGGCCTCTGCTTCGGGTCTGCCCTTCCCCTGCCGGGGCAGTGGTCCCTGAAGGACACAGGCTGTGGGTCCCAGTTAGACGGGGCAGTGGTGACAGAGAAAAGGCTCTCTCCCAGGGAGGCCTCTTTGCCCTGAGTTTGGGCTGAGGACCTTGTTCCAGTAAAAAAGACACTGGTTTTTGGTTTATTTAAAAATAGAAAATAAAGCTGAATTCCTGACCAAACCCACTGCGGTTGGGGATGGTATGCAAAGACCAACGAGTAGCCCCAAGGGGATTTCCTTCCTGACCCCAAACCTTCCCAGGGAAGGTGTTGTGCTGGTCCAGAGGATGCCCCCACTCCTAAAATGCTCCCTGTCACCAAGTGTCCCAGCAAAATCAGCTCAGCAGGGAGGGTGGGGTCTCCTCCAAGGTTATGTACAACGGCAGGGTGCTGCCTGGCCTGCTCCCCCCTGGGGAGAAGCCAGGACTCAGGAACTTGGTTATTGTGCACCACCACGGCCGGCCACCGAGACCCCTGCCCAGGCAGCCAGGCGCAGGTGGCCAGATGGTGGCTGGCAGTGACCACTAAGGCACATGGGATTCCGCTGAGTGGGCCCCACCAGGCTGGCCAGCCCAGGAGGGCCTGGGGCGTTTCTTCACAATCCTGGCAGCTTGAGGGCAGCAGGCAGGTAGGGATCTTCAGAAGGACACGGCTGGTCTCCTCCGGACCCGCACCTGGCCGGCGGGCACAAGGCTCTGCTGGGCCTCACAGAAGTCCAGGAGTCGACGCCAGAGAGGGCAGCACTGCAGGAGGAGGTGGTCTCCTGCCAGGGGCAGGAGTCAGTGGTCGCCTACAGCCCTGGCCCACCAAGAAGCCCCGCCCCCAGGGAGGAGCCCACCCCAGCCCTCCCCTACCAGGCAGCCCCGCCCCCAGGGAGGAGCCCACCCCAGCCCTCGCCCACCAGGAAGCCTCACCGATGAGGCAGAGCCCCTCCTGGGCCCGGGTGATGGCTACGTTCACTTGGTTGGGGTCCACCACGAAGCCCAGGAACTTCTTAAGCCAGCCCTTAGTCGGCCGCTGGTCCAGGTCACTCTCTGGGCACGTGCGGACGGTGCTCACCAGCACATAGCGCCACTCGCTCCCTGGGGGGCCGGGCAGGCATGGTGACGCCCCTGCCCGCTGTGCTCACCATGCCCCCTGCCCACCGGCCCACGTGCCCCCTGTCCCCAGCCTCACCCTGGCTCTTGGTGATGGAGCACACGGTCACTCCCGTGATGCCCTCTTGCACGAGGCTCTTGCTGATCTCTGTGGCCTGTGCGTTGTAGGGTGTGAGGATGGCGATGTCCTTGGGTTCCACTGTCCTGCCCAAGGTCAGCTGTTTGGCGATGCGAACCTGAGGGACCGAGAGGGTGCAGCTGAAACCAGGTCCCTGGGCACCAGGGCCTCACCTGTTCCCTCGTCTCCTCTGCCTCCTCCCCCAGGAAGCCCTCCCTGACCAAAGGGCACCAGAGAGCGCCTTGCTAACACTCACCACCTCTGCCACCTCCTCCTGGTTGGCCTTGGAGTTCTCATTCCCTTCGTCCGTGGACACCAGCAGGCTCTGCTCATGGCCCTGCATGTGGCCAAAGATGACAGAGCAGCTCTCCTTGCCGGCATGGCCCAGGATGCTGGGCGACCTCCTCAGGCCCTGCCAGGTCTTCAGCTTGCTCTTGTAGAACTCCATGGAGGGGAAGGTACAGATGTCCTTGTGCTGCAGGACAGGGACATGAGCGGGGGCAGGCCACCCACCCACGCGCCCTCGGGCCAAGAGCTCCCACTGGCAGCTGCTCTGGCCCCAGGACAAGGCCCGGGTGGACGTAGGAGGTAGGGGAGTGGGCCGCAGACCACACCTTGGCCGAAGGAGCTGAGGCCGGGACTGCTTACCATGCGGTACTGCGTATCCAGCATGTAGGCATCCCTGTGGTACCTCTCGAAGAGAGACCGGTCCAGACCCAGGTTCTGCAGCTGCTCATTCTTGACCACAGGCCGCAGCTGTTTATGGTCCCCAAGAAGAACCACCTGGGGGGACAGGCCGGCGTGGTCCTGCTACCCTCAGACCAGGGGCACCCAGCCCCGCCATCGTCACTGCCCCGCCACAACGCTGCCCTCCATGCACTCCCAGGGGGAGACCACACCCAGTGACCCCCGCCCAGGTCACCAGCTCACCACCCGCCTCGCTCACCTTCTCGGCCGTCGAGAAGTTCACCAGGGGGATGAGGGTCTCGGGCTCTGTGGCCATGCCCGCCTCGTCCACGAGGATCTGCCGGACGTCCAGGCTCTTGAGGGCAACCGAAGCTGCACAGGAGCACGTGCACAGGATGACCCTGTGCCGGTCCAGCTCGAACCTCCTCGCCTTGCCCAGGACCCTCCTGTACCTGTGTGGGGATGCCATCTGGTCACCCAAGGACCCCTCGCCAGGAGACAGCTCCACGGCCCCAGCCCCTTACCAACTGAGGTCGTCCTTGGAGAACAGTTCCCCTTTCTGCAGCCGGGCGTCGAACGCCTTGAGGTCTGGGGCATAGGGGTTGGAAGGCTGCCGGATCCGGTGGTGCAGGGTGATGCTCCTGGGGGGGACACCTCCATGAAGCCCTGTGTTGTCCCAAGGCAGGACCATCAGGCCCCTCCTCTCCACCCAAACACAGACAGACAGACAGTCAAGAGGAGAGACACACCTGAGGGTCTGGTTCGGCCTCCCCTCCCGAGGGGTATTCTTGGGTGGACCCCTGCTGCCCACACCCGGCACTGGGAACTCGGTGGCCTCGGCCTGCTCGCCGTACACGCGAAGGGGCTGCAGCTCTTCTTTCCTGCTCAGGAGCATCCCTGGGGGCAGTTGGGGCGTGAGTGACTGTCCCCTGGGCCCACCAGCCCCAGGCAGAGCCTCGAGTGGTCGGCCAAGCACACCTGCCAGGACGTCCACCGACTTGTTGGAGGGGCCGCAGTACAGGACGCAGGGGCCCCCCAGCCGCTTCTCCCCACCGCAGGCTGGCGCCTGCTCCTCATTTGCCTTGTGAAGCCAGAACACAATGTGGAGAGCCACCACCGTCTTCCCAGTGCCTGCGGGCAGAGAATGGCGTGAACGGAGCCCCGCCCGCCTGCCCGGGCAGCATGCATCTCCCCCAACGTGGGCCCACCTGGTGGGCCCTGGATGACTGTGAACTGCTTCTTCAGAGCCTCCCTGACGGCCCCGTTCTGGCTGGGGTTCAGCTTGTGGCGGCTTCCGGGGATGTCGAAGGTCTGCCGCTCCAGGAACCGGTGGGGTGTCCCTGAGGAAGGGGCCAGGCCTCCCTGAGCACCAGTGCAGGGCGGGGCTGGGGCAGGACGAAGGCGGGGGGGGAGTGGGAGGGCCCCCACCTACCTCTTCTGAGGGGCTGCTGGCAAGGAGGGGGGCGGGGCAGGGGAATGGGCTGGCCTAGGGCGATGCTGATGGCCAGCGGGGACGCGTCCTTCAGCTCACGCACAGCTTCTTCCTTGCGGCTGGGGGCAGGGGAGGTGAAGACGGACACTGGAATGTTGACAGGACTCTCCCGGGGGAGCGGCCACTGCCCCAAGAGCCACCCCCCAGAAAGGGGCCCAAGGAGTCCTCACCCCACCCTGCCCACCAGCCTCTCCCTGGCTTTCACCCCATGGAAGCCACTCACAGGTCAGGAAGCTGCTTGGGCAGCATCTCAATGGTGAATCGGGTGCCAGGCCTCAGCACCTCTTCTGGAACCTTCTCCATGGCTGTGCGGTGGATGAAGAAGTGCACCTGCTTGGGGGCCTCCTGGCGGTCTGCCTTGCCCTCCTTTGGGTCCCAGTCCTCTGTCAGCCCGTGGGCCACCCAGGTGTAGGTGTCAGGGTCGATGCTCAGGAGGGGGCCGAGGTTGCTGGGCCCACAGGGTGGGGTGGCCGGGGGAGGCTGGCCAGGGCTGGCCGGGGGGTGCGGCCCCCCTGCGTTGGGCACGGCCGGCAGCCCCTCGAGCCGGATGCAGAGGTAGCAGTGGCTGAGGCTGATGTCGATGCAGTGCTCCCGGAGGAAGGCGGCCTCCAGGCGGAAGGTGCCCTGCAGCTGCCCCTGCGGCGTCCGCTCCTCGGCCCAGGATACGCCCACGTGCTGCAGCGTGATGGAGTCGTTCTCGGCGACCGCGCTGGTGGCCGACTCCAGGGAGCAGAACGGCTCCCACACGCGGGAGTACTCGTCCACGTCATGGCACCGGTCCCGCCCTGCCTGGGGCACGTGGCCCGAGAAGCAGTCGCCTGGCCGCTCCGCGTGCTCTAGGCAGAGGCTGAGGCCAGGCGCCACCGTCCACAGCTGCAGAGCTGGTGCCAGGAGCCCTCGCTGCAGGGTGGCGCCGAGCTGCACCTGCAGCGTGTCCCCCCTGGTCAGCTCCCGGGCCACTTCCACGAAGTGGCCGCAGCGGCTCCGCCACACCCGCCCCAGCTTCCGCGGCCGGGGCTCTGCAGCACCCCACGCCTGCACCAGGGCGGCCGCCTCAGGCCACCGCTCCTCCTCCAGCAGCTCCAGCAGCTGCTGCCACAGCGCAGCGTCGACGGGCCGGGTGTGCATGTCGAGCAGGGCGCCAGGCAGCGGGGGGCACGGCCCGTTCACCTGCACCGGGTAGATGCGGCGCCGCCACGAAAGCCGCAGGCCTGGCCGGCCCGGCGAGTTGTGGGGGTGCTCAGCCAGCTGCAGGGAGCGGTAGTAGATGGGGCAGGGGTCAGGCAGGGTCTCGTGGTTGGCGGGGAAGAGCAGCTTGAAACAGCGGGCGCCTGCCTCCACATCCACCACGAAGCCCAGCTTGTCCTGGGGCTGGGCCTTGAGCCGCGCGGCCAGGTGCAGGCTGCGGGCTCGGCGCTGGTACCTCTGGGCGCTCACGTGCTGGTGGCTGAAATCCTGGCAGAGCCCGTCGATGTCCCTGGCGGAGTAAGTGGCGCCCCCCTGGCCCAGTGCCAGCAGGATCTGCCGCTGCAGCACCACGTCCAGGTACCTGCGGATGGGCGAGGTCACCCACGTGTACCAGTCCACCTGCAGCGAGTAGTGGCCGGCCGGCTGCTGTTCGCCCTGGCTGGAGCGGCCAAAGACAGAGCGGCCCAGGGCCCGGCGCAAGTCGAGGCCTGCCGGGGCCAGCGAGGGGTGTATGTCGTCTGTGGTGACGAGGTCCACCAGCCTGTGGAAGTCCTGGGCGTGGGCTGCAAGCTGGACATGCCTCCAGAGGGAGGTCAGCACGTGCAGCTGCGTGTCGGGGGGGCCGCGGCCCTGGAGGTGGTGGCGGAGGTGCAGCGACAGGGGCACCAGCCCCCTGTGCTTCTCGCGCACGGCTTCAAGCTGGCGGCTGCCGGGCGTGGGCTGCCACCGCAGCGGTGTGACCGTCCGCGTGCGCTCGCTGCCCACCAGGAAGTCGGCTGCCAGGCTGTTGAACTGGATCATGTACTCCTTGACCATGACATGGGCCACACGGAAGCCCAGCGTGCTGTCCTCGTCTGGCTGCTCATAGTGGCGGTCAGCCAGCAGGCGGCGTCGGCGCAATGCCCGGGAGAGGTGGCACGCGGCAGCCACGCAGGCCTCCACTGAGTCCAGGCGGGCCGGCAGCTCCAGGCCCGCACCCGGGTGCCCCTTGATCACCTGCTCGGCCTCCTCGTAGGACAGCTGGCGGTCGGAGCGGATCACGGAGGGCGCAAATCGCCGACTCCGGAGCTGGTCGCTGCCCTTCTCCACGGTGAGGAAAAGGGAGATGGCTAAGCGGTCCTGGCCTGGCAGGAGGCTGAATGCGTCCTGGGAGAGGCGGGCCGGCAGCATGGGCACTGGCTCCCGGTCAGGGGCGTAGAAGGCAGTCCCCTGCCTGCGGGCCTCCACATCCAGCGCCCCGTCCCGGGGCAAAACGCTGGCCACGTCGGCGATGTGCACGGCCACCTCGTACCGGGGGCCCAGGTCCCGGACGCTGAGGGCGTCATCCAGGCTGCGGGCGCCCCGAGGGTCTACGGTGAAGGTCAGGAGGCAGCGGCAGTCCTCCCGCCAGCCCGGCGCCCGGCCCAGCTCCGCACGGTATTTCTGCAGCACCTTGGCGACCAAGGCCGGGTCTGGCGAGGGCTCCCTGAGGCCGAACTCCAGGTCCAGGACGTGGAGGCCCCGCTCCCAGGTGTCGGCCTCGGGCAGCACCTCCAGGACGATGCCAAGCGGGTAATAGAAGCGCTCCCGCCACAGGACGATGCGCACGCGGAAGAGACGGTTGCGCCGGGCTTTGGCCGTGAGCCGCTCGTACCCCACCCGCTGCACGTGGCCCTGCACAAGGCGGTGCACGGGCACCTGCAGCGGGTCCTTCAGCTCAGCCACAAAGATCTTGGTCACAGAGCTGTCGATGGGGGTCATGATGCGGGGGTCCCACTCGTCCATGCGGCACACGAACACCAGCTCGCTGCGCCTCCTCTTGAGCACACCCACCACACGGCCCTGCAGCCGCCCCGCGGGGCCCCTGTCACCGGCAGCCCCGCCAAGGACCTTCACCAGCACCTCGTCCCCGGTGAAGGCCATCCCGCAGTGCAGGCGGCCCCTGACCTGGATGGGGCCAAGGCCCGTGCCATCCAGCGGCACGGCCGTCGCCCGATCAAAGGTCTCCAGCGTGAAGGCGCAGCGGCGGTACAGCTCAGGCTCCGCGCGGAGCAGCTTCCGCAGCGTGGCCCGGGGCAGGTTCACGTACTGCCGGGCCTGGTGTGGGGACGCGGGACTGGGGATGGTGTCCAGCAGCCCATCCTCCCGCACGGTCACCGTCATGTTCCGGCTCTCGTCCAGGAGCTCCTGCAGGATGGAGTCATCGGCGTTGAGCTCCCCGTCGGAAGGCCAGAAGTCAGACTCGGAGTCCTCAGGGTCCTCGGTCTCCCCACTTGCGGTGGCGTCCCCGGAGGCCACGTCCCCCCTCACCGAGTTCCCCGCGGATGCAGTGTCCCCTGCCTCCGTGTGCGCGGCGGCTGCCTCCTTTGCTGCTGGGTGCCCCCTAGCTGCAGACTCTGATGCTGCGTCCCCAGCCTCTGCCTTCTGTGTGGCCACGTCCTCTGCCACTGAGGCCCTGGACCGGGACGCACCCCCCTCAGCCACAGCCCCTGGCTCAACCTTCGCCACGGCCGTGTGCTGTGTGGCTGGGGCCCCTGCTGCCCCCTGCTCCAGGACAGTGTCCGCAGCCCCCACCGCCACTGGTCTCCCTGCTTGGAGGGGCCAGCGCTGCCTCTGGACCACGCCCTGCTTGATCTGCTCCAGCGACAGGTCCTCGGGGCAGACGCTGCGATGCTCCACACACTCGCGGATGAAGCTCTTCCAGAGCTTGCTGCAGGCCCCGAAGGAGCAGAGGGCCACGGCGTCGCCCACGGCCACCACCTGGGACTGGGCTCGGGTCATGACAGTGTTGAGCACACGGGCATCCGTGAAGAACTCCAGGGCGGGCACCCCGGGGCCCCGCAGGCTGCTGTGGTTGTGCACGGTGCTCAGCACCACCACCCGGAACTCCCGGCCTGCGAGGGGTGAGCCGGCGCGTGAGGCTGGGCCGAGAGGGGGCCCCGCCCACCCGTCCCCAGCACTGATCACCCACCTGGTAGGATCTCAAAGCTGCCCACAGACACCTGGGCCAGGCCCCTCTTCCTCAGCTCCTGCCTCAGCGCGCTCACCTGCAGACACAGGGCCGATCGGCATCCCGGGCAAGCGCTCGGTGCGCAGCGAGGGGCCCCAACAAGGACGAGGTGCCGGCCCCCGTGCCCTGGCACCCTCGAGCCACTCAGCCCTGGCACCAACCACATGGTTTGAGCCCCACACCAGCCCTGGGAGATGAACTCCTCAGCCCCTCATACAGAAGGGGAAACTGAGGCTACAGAGGTCCAGCTGGGAGCACGCAGGTCCACCAGACCCCAAGGGGGCCCCCTCCATGCAGCGTCCCTGTGGGGAGTGGGAGAGGAAGGCTGTCCCAGCGTTGGGCTTACCTGGGCGCCGTGGGACACGGCGCAGATGTGCTTCTGCTCCCGGCTGCCCCAGCAGTGGGGCCAGGTGTCATAGACCTCCTGCACCTTCTCGACGACCTGGGCGACCTCGGCCGCGTTAAGCCAGGACGTCATCGACATGTCGCGCTCGGGGTTGCCCGCCACGTGGCAGAACACGAGCGGATAGTGCCGGGGGTGGCGAGGGACCTTGCCGCTGGCGCGGATGGGGTTGCCCTTGGCCACGTAGAAGTGGCGCGAGACGAAGCTGATGATGGCCTCGGTGGAGCGGTAGTTCTCGTGGAAGACGACGCGGCTCCGCTGGGCGACCTCGTGCGTCTGCTGCTGGTAGTGCTGGAAGAGGCGGTGCAGCAGCGTGCACCCGGCCGCCTGGGCCCTGGCCACGCTGAAGAGTCTGGGTGTGACCTGCATGTGGTCCCCCGCCAGCACCACGCGGGTGCTAAGCGAGGCGTAGCGCAGCGGGGTGAGCGCCTCGCACTCCAGCATCTGGGCAGCCTCGTCAATGAGGATGTGCGAGAAGAAGCCGGCAGGCACCCTGAGCTCACGGGCCTGGGAGGTGGTGGTGATCACGATGCGGTGCTGCTCCAGCTCTGCCCAAGTCGGCAGGCGGAAGGCCCGGCGGTCCTCGGTCAGGCAGCAGTACTGCAGCGTGGCTGCGTCCGTCTGGCTCGGCGGGCGGTCCGTGTACATCACCCGGAGCGGAGCGGCCTCCGGGTGGCCACTGCTGACGTAGCCGTGGAAATGCTCCTCAATGTAGATGTCGGCCGCGCTGGGGGGAGAAGGGCACATGGGGCCTCGGCAGCTGTCTGCTAAAGCGCCTACTGTGCGCCCGGTCCCACCTGGATGCCAGGAATTCACATGAGGCAGACAGACCCACGTCCTGCCCCCACAGAGCTTACATGTCGGCAGAGGGGACAGACACACAGATAGAGAAAGAAGGGAAGGTCAGAGCCCAGTGAGGAGAACTGGGCAACAGCACAGAGTATCTGGGCAATCAGGGAGGGGTACCCAGAGGAGGTGAAGGAGCTGGCCTGTGGAGAGGCAGAGAAAGGTTGACCCTGAGTTCAGCTCCCGGTCGGCTTTCAGCAGGTGAACAGTGAGACCTGGTGCCAGCTCTCAGGAGTGGAGTTAGAGGGGCAGAGAGGCCAGCCAGAGCCTCCACCCACAGCCCCTCAGACACCTAAGACCAGTGCATCCTGGGACATGCCAGAGCCCCGTGGCATCTCTGCAGAGACTTGCCTCTCCCTCCCAGGCCCCCAAGGATCCTCAGGCCAGCCAGGAATCAGCCCCCCTGGGCAGAGGTGTAGAGACACCGAGCCTGAGCAGCAGTCAGTGTTGGGAACTAAGAAAACCATATTGGCCAAAGGGGAACTTCATGGTTGAGAGAAGAATCTGCGTTTCTCTAAAAACAGCACAGGAGGCTCGCCCCAGGAAATGCTGGGTGGGTCAAGCCACACTCCTCCCCATGGCTGTCTCCTGGTCCAGGACCTCTACGGAGGCACCCACAGCCCCTCACCCAAACAGCGGACCCCAACCCCCAGGGCACCCTGCACTGAGCCTGGAGCACAGACGTCCCCTGTCCCTTTCAGCCCAGGACTGACCGGCTATCAGGGAGAGCCCCAAGGGTCAGAGGGACTGGGACTCACCCCAGGGACACACTGCCCACCCGGTGTGCACAGGGCACCAGGGGCCACGAGCTCAGCCAGCCCAGCCCCCACTCCACCAATGGCCGGGCGGCCCTGGCACATCTGCTCCAGAACTAGCCGCCCAGGCCTCCAGTGAACCTGGAACCAGCCAAAGCCCCAGACCCGGGTTCCACTTCCTCTCTCGGGGCGACGCCATCAAGGCAGGGTGCTCGCCGCAGCCAGGCGGCAGCTCTGGGCTCACCTGTTGGTGTGCGTGCAGATGAGGACCTTGGTGTGGGGCTGCCGGATGACCTCCAGGGAGGCCATGGCCAGCGTGTAGGTCTTGCCCGTGCCAAAGGGGCCGTAGATGAGCAGCGGAGCGATGGGCTGTGCGCCCCCAGGGCTGCTGCCTGCGATGAACTCCACGGCCAGCCTCTGCTTGCGGTTGCCGTGCAGGGCAGGTGGGGTGGGCCAAGGGTGGGGCAGGGTGCAGGCCAGCAGGTCAGGCACCACCAGGCGCTCCTCAGGCAGCGCGTCCACTGCCTGGTGCCATAGGCGGAAGGTCAGCGGGTCGATCTGGAACTGCACCTCCAGGACCGGGCTGACCTCAGGCTGCAGCCCCAGGGCTGTGCAGCAGTGGGCGGGCAGCAGCAGCCACAGCGCCTGCTCTGAGCTGGCCCGGGTCTCCAGCCGCACCTCGAACACTGTGTGGTCAGGCGCGGGCACGGGGGCCACAAGGGCCGTGCTGACTGCCCGGCCCAGCAGAAAGCCCTGGTCTGTGTCTGGTGTAAGGGAAGAGGGGATGGGGACCTCGGCATAGAGGGCTCCTGGTGGCGGGAAGAGCATGCCCAGGGCTGGTGTCTGCAGTGCCGTCCTCAGGGACACTGGGACCTGAAGGTTCAGCCTGGTGGGAGGACATGGGTCAGCTGACCAGGGCCACAGCTCTGCAGTCAGCACCCTGGCAGCCCCTGCCTACCCTCTAGCCCCCACTCACTTGGCCACCAGCTGTTGCTGAGCAGCCTCCTCCTCATAGAGAAACTGGTGCATCCTCTGCCGGTAGTTGGTGCAGGAGATGGGGCCTGAGGCCAGGCCACTGCGACTGAAGTCCAGGGCCAGGGCGGGCACCTTGTACCTGGCCATCAGGGCTGCCTGCTCCGCCGTCCGAGCCACGCTGGGCACCACATGGCGGTTGCCAGGGTGCCAGCGCTCCAGCTCCACAGGGTGGCCGGGAACTGGCGTCCCTCGGAGCCCCGGGCAGTGCGCCTGGCCCAGCTGCAGTCCTAGCTTTCGCAGCAGTGCCGGCCGGTGGCCAAAGTCAAAGACCACCCACTGCTCGAAGGTGCCAAAGGAGGAGCTCTGCACTCGCACCCCCACGTGGAACTCAGCTGGGGAGCCGGGCACACAGAAGCGCTCCCCCTGCGCGTAGAGTCGGCCTAGGGGGAGGCGGGGAGCCTCCAGCGAGAAGTCTGCTCCAGGCTCCTGCTTGAGCAGGGCCACGTGGAGCAGCGGCTCCTGGGGAAGAAGACCAGATGACAAGGCAGCCCCCGGGCCCTGTCCCACCCATCAGGGTCCAGGCTGATGCACAGACCCCTCCCCACCCTCCTGTGCTTCCTGGCGGTGACCCCAACAGGGTGCTCGGCCTCTCTGAACCTCAGGGTTCCCTTCTGCAAAATGGGGTCACAGAGCCCGCCTAGGCTGCCCCCAGGGACATTGAGCAAAGTGTCGGTGCAGCACGGGACACTCGGGGCGCCGACAGTGGTAACCAGCCTGGTCCCTCACTCTGTACCAGGCACTCCACAAAATATCGCCACAGGGCCAGGCACAGAGACGCTAAGGACTTGCTCCAGATCACACAGACCAGAGGGAGAGGCTGCGCTCAGCTGTGCTGACCCCTCACCTCAGAGTGGATGGTGAACATCCAGTTGTGCTGAGTTTTCTTCTCCTGTGCCTGATGCAGCAGGGGCTGGTTGCAAGTGATGGACACGCCGTCGATGGTCTCGGCCAGCTGCACATGGAGGCCTGGCCGTCAGCAAGGTGGCCCCAGTCCCCACCCACCCTGCCCACTCTCAGACCCCACGTACCACCAGGATCTCATTGCTGCTACTCTGATACTCCTCCAGCAGCCGCACTTGGTAGGGCACCAGCCCCTCCTGCCAGGCCGCCTGCTCCCGCAGCTTCACAGTCCGTGCCCGTGACACCCACTCCTGCAGCTCCTGCTCTGAATGCGCCTTGGTGCAGACAACCCCGTACTCACAGAGATCGGGCCTGGGGGAGGGAGGTTAGCAGGTCACACGGGGGTGAGACCCCTCGGCCCAGTACTGGCCTGTGTGGGGGAGGAGGAAGAGATTCCAGGGGGCAGGGCAGGAACTGGGACCTCCTCTGTGCTGTCCACTCCTGTCCCCCCAAGAGCAGGCCTGGCATGAGCGGCCTCAGTGGACCTCCCTTACCCATCACTCAGGCCAACGAGGTACCAGCTGGTCAGGAGACAGAACCCCTGGTTCCGGCTGAAGGTAGGTTCTTCCCCCGCCCCAAGCCCCAGCCCGATGTCCTGACCTTGGGCAGAGCTCAAACGTGGAGAGCCCAGTGGGTGGGCTGCGGTGCTCCCAGGGTGTGGCCTGGTCCGAGGCCACCATCTGCGCGTGCTCCAGGGATGAGCAGTGGTTCTCAAAGGCCTCCTGGGAGTGGCAGGTGAGCAGGCAGACGTGGCAGTACAGCTGGTCTCTAGGGGGCTGGCCCTGGGGGGCTGTACGTCTGTGCCCCGTCGGGGCAGGGGGCGTGAGCAGGTTCGCCCGCTGGAGCCCACTCAGCTGCTCGGCCTCCCACACGGCCATCTCCACGGCACTGTGAGCATACTGGCAGCGGGACGCCCCGTGCCGGCATGGCCGGCCGCGCCCCACGAACATGCAGTAGGCCAGTGGCTGACCGTACTGCGGCTGCGGCCGCACCTCCACGACCTGCTGCTTGTGGCAGCCCTCGCTGCTCACATGGGCCAGGAGCGAGGGGCAGGCTCCATGCTTGGAGCACCGCCCCTGGGGGTCCACAGGGCAGAGGCGCGGGGGGCAGCGTCTGAAGCAGTGGGAACAGAGCAGCTGGAAGTGGCCGCCAAACTCAGCGCGGATGGCATCAGCCGGGTCGCGCAGCTCGCTCTGGGCCCCGTCACCCTGCACCGCGGCCTTCAGCCACAGACGGTGCAGGTTGTGCTCGCGCTCGAAGGTCCAGACCAGCGCCTCCTCGGGGCTCCGGGCAAAGGTGCACTGGTTGTGGTGGCGCCGGCAGCCGAGCCCCGGGCTGTAGTAGCGGCACACTGCATAGCGCGCGGGCCGTGGGAAGCTGGGCCGGCGGTCCACCTTGCGCCAGACCCTGCTCTTGGTGGCTCGCTTGAAGCGGGCCAGCAGGATCTCGCGGGGGCAGCTATGCTCCACCCCGCGTAGGAGGTAGGTGCTCTCATTGAGGCGCTGGGTGCAGCGGGAGCAGCCCAAACACAGGTCCACCTGGGCGCACAGCCTGGCCAGCGGTGGCTCTTTGGTGGCCATGGGGCTAGTGGGCGATGGGCCGGACCCCAGGGACACTGTCTCTGACGCTGGCCTGGCTCTGCGGAGTGGCATCTGAGACTCACGGGCTCAGCTGGTCCTCTGGGGCTGTTCACCCACGATGAGAAGCCTGGGAGAGAAACACGAGGAGCAAGATCAGGCCCACGGCCCGCAGAGCCACGTGCACCTAGGTCGGGGCTCAAACGCACCCCCCCCCTCCTCAGGCAAGGGGCCGAGGAAGCAGAAACAGGAAGAAGTCTGCCCACACGATGGGAGGAGAGGGTTGTTTTGTCCAAAGAGGCTAGGCACCACTGACCTTGACCCAGCTAAGGCCCTTCCCTTTCTGAAGGGTCTCTGGACCCTGCCCAGAAGGAGCCAGCCGGGCAGGGAGTGGGAGGGAGGGTGCCCCAGCAACAGGAGCCCTGCAGACCGGCAGGAGCCCCAGGGCGTGGACTTCCTGCCCTCCCCTTCCTCCTGAGCCCTAGCATTCAAAGGCCCCTCAAACTTCTGGGCTCCTGACTCTTCTACAGACACAGCACCCCTTGTTCTGTACAATGATAGTTGGCTCCTGCGACCAGTGCCCCACAGCTGTCTGATTGGGGGGACCGGTTTCCTCCGCTGGGGGCTGGGGGGTGGTGGGCAGAGCCTTGCAGAGGCTGGGCCCTGTGGGAGCAGGACAGTCTGCTACAGGGCTCCAGAAGGGAATGGGGACTCCCTGGGGGGTCCCCAACCCAGCTGGGAGCCAAACAGGAGGGGACCCACTCCCTGCAAACACTGCCGGTGGGGTCTAAAGGGAACTTTCAAGGGAAACTGAGGGCAACACAAAGATGTTTTAAAGGGAAATGATGAGAGCCGCAGCCCTGAGAGGAGAAGCCGCTCCAAAGTGAAACCCGAGCCGCCGCCAGCAGGGAACAGAGCAGAGCCCCCCGACCTGGTGGACATTCAGAAACGGGGCAGCTGGAGCCGGTGAGGACGAGGCTAAAGGGCTGGGTCCTTGGGGTCCGGAGACCGCCGCCCCCCTACCCCCGCGCGCGAGCCAGGTCGTGGCGAGGGGGCTGCGCAGCCACCCGGGCTGGGGGCTCTGACGTGGTGGCCGGGGTCCCCCGGCCCGGCGCCCAGTCAGCTCTCCCGGGGCAGCTGGCCCGGGTACTCGCCTCTCGGGGTCCCTGGGCTCCACCCCCTCGCACCAGCGCCCCCTCCCGCCTCCGGCCGCCGCCCGCCGGGGGTCCGCGGGAGGCCCGGACTCGGGAGGGCGCTGGGAGCACGGGCCACGGGGGCCGAGACCCCCGCGCGTCCCCGGGCGCTCACCCTCGGCGCGGAGCCAGGCCCCCGCCACCCTCCGCCGCTGCCGCCGGGCACCTCATTTGGCCGCGCCCCTCCCGGCCCGGCGATCACTTTCGTTTCTGCCCCCGGGGTGACTCAAACCTCTGACGCCGGACCGCGGAAATTACCTCACTGCCCCCCGCCCCGCCCCCGGCCCGCCCCCGAGTGATCTCACCACCGCACCCCCGACCCCGCCTCGGGCGCCGGCTGAGCGCCCCGAGCGCCCTGAGCGTCCGCCCCGCGCGGGATGCGAACCTGGCCTGCCCGGCTCCCGGGTGCACCGGGCAGTCTGCGGAGGGGCCTGCCCGTGTGGGGGTGAGGGAACCAGAACATTAAGAGGACCGGTGCCGCCAGCAGAGCCGGGTGGGGGTGGCCTGGCGCCCCCGTCCCCTAGCGCAGACGAGCAGGGCTGCTCACGACGTTCCGCGGCGACTGGGGGTCCCCGAAGGAGCAGGTCACTAATGGAGGGGGAACGGGCCAAGAGCTGGGGGGCCCCACCTGAAAGGGGGCCCTTTTCTAAATGGCACCAACCAGTCTGGGTCAGAGGGGACCTGCCCTGTTACAGGGGAGGGTCCTACCTGGAGAAGTTCTTCCCTGGGGGACTCGGGTGTTATATCCAGTCCCTTAAAATGCACCAGAGATGTTTGGTCAGGGCCAGAAGCAGTGAGAAATGTCCCCAGGTCCAGAGCAGGGAGAGGGAGGAGCACTGTGCAGTCTCATTGTTTCTAATCCTCCCAGCCTTCCCGTGCAGGGGCTATCCTCAGCCCACTTGAGAAAATGGGGCCAGTGGTCACTGGGGAAGGCCCAGCAGCCAGCTGGTAGCAAAGCTCCAGCCCCCACATTACCGGACTGACCTCAATGACGGCTGCTTCCTGGATTCCCCCCCCTGTGGAGTCCCCTTGAACACCGAAAAGGGCTGACCTGTGTAACCAGCAGATACGGCAGAAATGATGGAGTGGGACCACCAAGGCTGGGTCATAACAGACATTGCACTTCCTCCTCCATCTCTTGGGTCCCTGGATCTGTGGGAGGCCAGCCGCCATGTTGTGAGGACATTCAAGCAGCCCTGTGGAGAGGCCCTGGCGGGAGGAACTGAGGCCTCCCGCCAAAACCAGCACCAGCTGTCAGGCACTTGTGCGAGTCACTCTGCAAGTGAACCCTCCTTCAGAGGACTGTGGCCCCATGGACCCCAGGCCTGAGCCACCAGCTAAGCCACTCCCAACTGTGAGACCATAAGTGGGTGAGATAATAAATGCTGATTATTGTTTTAAGCCACCAAGTTTTTGGGTGATTTCTCACCCAGCAATAGACCACTGATACACCAATGCTGTCCCTCAGGCAATGCCATGCGTCTACATCAGCCCAAGGCCAGCATCCTGTTGGGTGGGGCAATAACAGGGGCTTCCCATTTAAGTGAGGAGGTTGGCGGGGTCCACCATTAATAATCTCACCAGGCGCCTCGAGGTATCAAACATCAAGTTAGAGGACATGATAGGGGAAAATGTTCTATAAATAATAGCAGCAACAAAAGACCCAGGGATGAGCTTAACAAGAAATATGCGAGAAAACAGAAGCGTTCCTGAGACACATGACAGAACACGGTGGAAAATGGAATGGAATACTACGTTCTTGGATAAGGAGACTTAATATTACACAAAGATGTCAATTCTTCCTAAATTAACCTATTAATTTAATGCAATCCTAACAAAAATATAAAGAGGAATTGAGGGGTGGACAAGCTGATTTTAAAGATCATTTGGAAAAGTATAACATAAACAAGAAAGAATAGACAAGAGAATTATTACAAAGAAGAGTAATAGAACATTGAAGAGGAGGGAACACTCCAAAACTTGTCATGACGCCACCATCACCCTGATACCAAAGCCAGACAAGGACACAAGGAAAGGTTACAGACCAATATTCCTGATTGAATGTAGATGCAAAAGTTCTCAATAAAATATTAGCAAACTGAATTCAACAGCGCTATACTTTTTTTTGTTGTTGTTGTTTTGTTGTTGTTTTTGTGAGGAAGCTTGGCCATGAGCTAACATCCGTTGTCAATCTTCCTCTTTTTGCTGAGGAAGATCGGCCCTGGGCTAATGTCTGTGCCCATCTTCTTCTCTTTGGTATTGGGATGCTGCCACAGCATGGCTTGATGACTGGTGCGTCAGTCCATGCCCGGGATCCAAACCTGTGAACCCCGGGCTGCCGAAGCAGAGCTCGCGAACTTAACCACTACGCCACCAGGCCAACCCCCACAACAGCACTTTAAAAGGATCATTCACCATGATCAAGTGGGGTTTATCCCTGGGATGCAAGGATGGTTCAACATCCACAAATCAATCAATGTGATACACCACATTAATACAGTGAAAGATAAAAATCATATGATCATCTCAATAGATGCAGAAAAAGGATTTGACAAAATACAACATCCTTTCATGATAAAAATGCTCAACAAAGCGGGTACAGAAGCAGTGTTCCTCACATAATAAAGGCCATATGAAACAAGCCCACAGCTAACAACATACTCAACAGTGAAAAGCTGAAAGCCTTTCCTCTAAGATCAGGAACAAGACAGGGGTGCCCACTCTCGCCATGTCTATTCAATGTAGTATTGGAAGTCCTAGCCAGAGCAATAGGCAAGAAAAAGAAATAAAAAGCATCAATATTGGAAAGAAAGAAGTAAAATTGTCTGTTTGCAGATGACATGATCTTACATATAGAAAATATCCTGAAAATCCACTAAAAAACTGTTAGAACTAATAAATAAATTCAGTAAAGTTGTAGGATAAAAAAATCAACATACAGAAATCAGTTGCATTTCTGTACACTGACAAGAACTATCTAAAAGAGAAATTAAGAAAGCAATCCCATTTACAATAGCATCAAAACTAATAAAATCATTTAGGAATAAAATTTAACCAAGAAAGTGAAAGACCTGTACACTAAAAACCATAAGACATGGATGAAAGAGATTGAAGAAGACACAAATAAATGGAAAGACCTTCCGTGTTCTTGGATTGGAAGAATTAACATTGTGAAAATGTCCATACGACCCAAATCGATCTATAGATTCAATGCAATCCTGATCAAAATTCTAATCGAATTTTTCATAGAAATAGAAAAAACTATCCTAAAGTTTATTTGGAACCACAAAAGACTGCAAATAGCCAAAGAAATGCTGGGAAAGAATAAAGCTAGAGGCATCACACGTCTTGACTTCAAGCTATATTATGAAGCTGTAGTATGTAATCAAGACAAAGCGGTATTGGCATAAAAACAGACACATAGATCAGTGCAACAGAACAGAGAGCCATGAAATAAACGCAGGGTCTATTAATTTACAACAAAGGAGCCAAGAATACATGTTGGGGAAAGGACAGTCTCTTCAATAAATGGTGTTGGGAAAACTGGAGAGCCACATGCAAAAGAATGCTGACTCAAAAAGAACAAAGAATTACACCACTCACAAAAATTACCTGGAAATCAATCAAAGACTTAAATTTAAGACCTGAAACCATAAAACTCAGAAGAAAACATAGGGAGAAAGATCCTTGACATTGGTCTTAGCAATGATTTCTTGGATATGACACCAAAAGCACAGGCAACAAAAACTAAAATAAGTGAGACGACATTAAACTAAAGAGCTTCTGCCCAGCAAAGGAAACAATCGATAAATTGAAAAGGCAGTCTACTGACTGGGAGAAAATATTCGCAAACCGTATATCTGAAAAGGGGTTAATATCCAAAATATATAAAGAATTTACATAACTCAATAGCAAAAAACACAAATAATCCAATTTAAAGATGGGCAGAGGACCTGAATAGAGATTTTTCCAAAGAAGACATACAGATGGCCAACAGATACAGGAAAGGATGCTCAACATCCCTAATCACCAGGGAAATGCACATCAAAACCACAATGAGGGGCCAGCCTGGTGGCGTAGTGGTTAAGTTCCCGCATTCCCCTTCAGCAGCACAGGGTTCGCCGGTTTGGATCCTGGGCGCAGACCTACTCACCGCTCATCAAGCAATGCTGAGGCGGCATCCCACATAGAAGAGCTACAACTCCACAACTATGATACACAACTACGTACCGGGGCTTTGGGGAGAAAAAAGAAAAAGAGGAAGATTGGCAACAGATGTTAACACAGGGCCAATCTTCCTGAAAAAGAAAGAAAGAAAGAAAAGTGTTATCCTGAAATGGCAAAAAGAAAACCCACAATGAGATATCACCTCATATCTGTTAGAATGACTCTTATCAAAAAGACAAGACATAAGAAGTGTTGGCGAGGATGCGGAAAAAAGGGAACATCTGTGCACTGTTGGTGGGAATGAAAACTGGTGCAGCCACAATGGAAAACGGTATGGAGTTTCCTCAAAAAATTAAAAATAGAATTACCATACGATCCGGCAATTCCACTTCTGGGTATTTATCCAAAATAAATGAACTCAGGACCTCTAAGAGATATCTGCACTCCCACGTTCACTGCAGACTATTCACAAGAGCCACAACATGGAACCTACCTAAATATCCATCCATGGATGAATGGATAAAGAAGATGTGGCACATATACACAGTCATGTGTCACCTAATGATGGGGATACGTTCTGAGAAATGCATTGTTAGGCGATTTCATCATCATGTGAACATCATAGAGCGTACTTACACAAATCTAGATGGTAGAGCCTACTACATACCGAGGCTGTAGGGTACTAATCGTATGGGACCACCATTGTATACGCCGTCTGTCTTTGACCGGAATGTCATTATGTGGCACATGACTGTATATACATACACACACACACACACACACACACACTATGGAATATTATTTAGCCATGAGAAAGAAGGAAATCCTGCCATTTGTGACAACATAAATGGACCTCAAGGGCATTATACTAAGTGAAATGTCAGACACAGAAAGGCAAATACTGTACAATATTACTTACATGTGGAATCTAAAGAAGCCAAACTCTTAAAAGCAGAAAGTACAATGGTAGTTACCAGGGGCTGAGGGGCGGGTGAACTGGGGAGATGTTGTCTAAGAATACAAACTTGCAACTAG